GAGCAGAAAGGATATGTGATAGATAGGGTTTTAGTTGGGGGGGTTGGTAGGGGAGGAGGGGAGGGAGAGGGAACTGGGATTGTCATGTAAAATAATCTTGTTTCTAATAAAAATAAAAAAAATCTGCAAAAAAAAAGTGTCTCCATTGTTAATGACATGTCTCTGTACTTCAGTGATATTGTGAAACTAGTTACAAAGTGGCTTGAAAATTATCCGTTAAAGTGAGAATTGATATGAGATACAGATAATTTTACTATTCACAGTTTAATGTGCTCTCTCTGTGTGTGCACGTGTGTGTGTGTGTGTGTGTGTGTGTGTGTGTGTGTATGTATGCATGTGAGGTTTTGGGGTTTGTTCACTAATTTACTACAGACTGAAGCATATGAGTCTGTATTCAGCAGACCGTGTGCCATTCCCTGGTGGTTCTTTGGACATTTTCATGTTTGACCAACTCACTACTGACATTTTAATTTTACATTAAATTCCTAAGAATGAATGAGAGATTTATTGTGCTGTCCAGAGCACCTGTAGCATGAAATGATGTTTTCCTTTAAACATTACTAGGGTGGTAAAATTGAAAGAAAAAAAGCATTTTCCTTCTGTCTTTTCTTGTTACATGACTCCTGTGTGTAGATCATTCGAAAGAATAGCGTGGCAACATAAATCCAGTGTCTTAACGAGAAACCACATTGATGCTGAGAAGCAAACAGATAACCTGAAGCCAGACAATGAAATTTACATAGCCCTCCCTTGGTAAAGTCGTCTTGCTGCATTGCTGAGTACACAATCTGTCAATAATTTGTTGTTTGGTTACAAGAAGGCAACCACTTTGTTTTAGGGCTCTAATTCAGAACCTTTATCATAATCTACAAGATGAAGTCACCTAGCTAGGGTGGTGCCTATCACACACCACTAAGAGGGAAAGGGAGACCATTGTCTTCCTTCAAACATTGCATCATTTCTCTGGATTTGATATGCTGCCCCTTTGTAGTGGTGTGTGTGTGTGTGTGTGTGTGTGTGTGTGTGTGTGTGTGTGTGTGTTCTTTATGTGGGTAGGTGATACTATGCTCTAATTGCAAAGGAAAACACTAACACAAATCTGAGCATATAACCTTTTTGTACAAGATATATTTGAATCTTGCAATTAAACAGTTATATCCATCGAGGCTAGTGAACTTCGTTATTCAGACTTTCATCCCTCTCACTGGGAAATATTGTGGTGATATAATTTGTATTTTCTACAAAGCAGACTGTAGCTTACAGTGACTTTATGAAAACAGACATATATGATCCTTACTGCTGTAAGACAGAAAACCTTATTTGTTTCCCTGATACGTTGGACTAAAGTGACCAGACAAAGAAAAATAGAGAGACGCTTCGGGGAAAGTGGACAGAAGTTAAACATGGCTATAATGTAGACAGGATGATACTAATGTAGCAGAAGCCGAGGACATTTACGTTTTGGAAATGTTTTTAAAAGTCATTATTGCTTTATCCCTGAGGAGAAATTCTCATCACTTCCAGTTTGGTCTCATGAAGGAGCTGGCAGGGCAGTGAGCTGTGGTTCCCAGTCAGCCTACAGTCAAAAGTCAACAACTTTTCACTCTGGGGTATGCCCTGCTAAGTGGGGACATTCTGTAGGTTAGGGCTATTAAGTGCATTTTTCATTTTCAATGATTTCAGTTTTTAATGAGCTTATTGAAATGATCCAGTCCATCAGCATTTGTGCTCAGAATCTTAGAAATCAAGTCTTCATCATGCATCAGTGGACTATTATCCATACCTGCGTGCAGATGGAAACAGCGGTTCAGTTTGGATTGTTGGATTGGTGGTTTATGAATGAGGGACCTGATGGCAGTCAGATCCGAGTTGTGGTACCGTAATGTTGGTAAATTAAAACCAGAGCTGGACACTAACTAAAGCAATATAAACAGTCTTTAGGAACTCATAGAGGAGAGAGAATGCAGCCATATTATAGAACGGGGCACAGCATCAGCAAGTCAAAGACTAGGCGGAGTCTCGATGTAAACTTAAGGGAAGAGACCTCGGGTTTGGCATGGATTAGGAAAGACAAGAGTTGAAATCACATCCTTTGTACTGACTGCAAAGCCTGGGGTCTCCAACACCCCACTATTTGCTGGGTTACTTTCCCAGAGAACCTTAAGGGGAAACAAATGGTGTGCCCTGTGCTCACTTAATGCAGGTGAAACTTAGACCTGTCCTGCCCACTCAGGTCTTCAGTTTATTGCCCACTGGCACATCTGTGTATAAGCTCACCATAACAATTTTTATTTCTATCTGTGTAATACTTTTAGTGTTACACTCAGTAATTTTGCTCAAGAACTTTCCCTCCAAGCTTTCCAGAATATGCATTTTATTTAAAGAAGCATGGAAATAAAGTATGACCTTTTATAGACATTTTACTCTGACTGTTAGATTCAGAACTCTGAAGATTTTTGGCCTTTGGAAATGACTCGTTATGTGTGCTCTGTGGCTTCTCAAGACTTAGCAAGTATTGCCTAGGTGTCGTGGAAGAACATTTGATGTGCTCTGTGAACCACTTAGAGCTTCCGAGAATTTCGTTTTGAAAGCTTTGAGATTACTGAGTAGTAAAAACAGGGCATAGTCTAAGATTTTCCTCTTATTATTTAAAGGCTTTTATGGTCTGACATCTGTTTAGTTATTTTAGAAACTTTGTTTTTGTTCTCATAGTTTTTTGTTTCTGTTTTGTTTTGTTTTTGTTGTTGCTTGTTTGTTTTGAGACAGGATTTCTCTATGTAACTGTCCTAGTTGTTCTGGAACTCACAGAGATCCACCTGCCTCTGCTTTCCAAGTGCCGAGATTAAAGGTGTGTACCATCATGCCTGGCTGTTCTCATAGTTTTACCCAAATAATTATGTGAGAAATTTACCCTAATTTATATTCCTCCACCAAGTTGTGTTTTACCTAATATTCTGTCATATTGAATATCCCTTTAATCAACATATTATCAACAGTACATTGTCTGTCTTTGCTTGACTTAGTGGGTTGTGGACATCATCTAATAGAGGAATTAGAAAATCACCAAACATCAGTCACAGTGAAACATTTAACGGGAACATGAAAATGGGATGATGCCCTTTCAAATGCTATTGTAGACCAAGGAGTTCTTTGCTGTGCACTGAGTTCTTTTTCTTGCATTCTGGTATAGTGCTGGATAGCCCAGGAGCAACTGATCATCACCTCAGTACAAAGTAGAGGCTAATAAGCCATAAGATAAACACAGGCAAGCATAGTGGAAACCAAATATGCAGTGAAAAGAAACATCCTAGAGGAGTATAGGGACGCATAGGGAAATGCCACCGGGGTATGGAAGAAGGGGCTGCTCCCAACTCCGGCCTCCAAGATGAAGTATCATTTGAAAGAAATAAGTTACAGCCTAAAATGATGTATTAGACCCTATGATTTTTGAATATGTTATTATTGAGGAAGAGCAGTATTTTGGAAAGAACTTGGGTTTTGGAATCAGACTTGCCCAATTCCACATGCTTTTCAGCTCTGCTATTTGTTTAACGTCTGTGTTATAGCACATTGCTTCGTTTCTTTGAACTTCAATTCCCTCTTGTGTACCATCATAGGGGGCTGGTTATTTGAAATGATCAGATGGGATTGCACCTTTAAAAGCACCTAACAGTATGCCTGGTGGTACCTAAGAGCCTTTCAATGACTGTTAAGTCCCCTTTCCTCCTCTTACCCTATTCATTCCAAAGTCCCTTCCACCCCATTAGCTTGTTTTTATGAACATCAAAGCAGGGATTCCAGGTGGGAGGCAACTGCAGTGGCTCTCCACTCATCAGACATTTGCTGACAGCTTGTTTTCTGGGGTGGAGTGCAGAGGATGGCATTAAATATTTTAAGAGGTAGTTCATAAGTAGAGCGAGTTAGGATGTAGAAATTAAAGGGCAGTTTATGAGGAGGACAGGGAGGTTAAAACTGGTTTCTACCCACTGTAGTCTCTGAAATCAAATTAAGGAGGGCAAATTGATTATTCTTTTACGCAATAGATTATTCTCATCATTAATCAATAAACAGTTGGCCCTCCATGGCTTTGGGCTTTTACATCCTTAGACTCAGTGAACCTTACATTGAAGAGTTTGGGGGGAAAAATCTGTGTCTGTACTAACCATGTACAGACGTTTTTCATTGCTATTATTCCCAAACAACGGCAATGTAATTACTATTCCCATATCATTTAGATTATATCACTTGTTATAAATAATTTAGAGATTGTCTAAAGTAGACGGGAGGCTGTCTTAAGTTAGATACAAATATCAAACCCAGTTGTGAACTAGTGGACATTGACTTGTCTAGTCTAATATCCCTGGGATTACTGGGAACACTCCCCATTAGATACTGGCGGGGGGATGGGGGGGCATGGTGATTATAACCGTAACTGTTTCCTACCTGAGAAGGTTTCTATTGTTTCTATAAAACGACTGTTAATAAACTGCATAGACAAGTGGGTATGACAATAACAGAGAAACCGTGTGTGTGTGTGTGTGTGTGTGTGTAGTATATTTGTGTGATAAAAGACCCAGGAGATACATAGAGTATGCATGTATGCATGTCCATGGACACTGAATCACTTAGCTCTTTGATCCTAGCTGGTCTTGCTGATGCCATTAGTACTGTATTGACTGACTTGGTCTCTTTTTTTCTCTCAGTTTGATAAAGGTTACTCTTACAACATCCGTCACAGCTTTGGAAAGGAAGGCAAGAGGACAGACTATACGCCTTTCAGTTGCATGAAGATTATCCTGACCAATCCACCAAGCCAGGGGGATTATCATGGTAAGTGCTTATGCTGGGTGCTGGTGAGCAGTTTTTGCATTGCTGAAGAACCTAACTTGTAGCAGCTCCTGTCTGTGTCAGTGTCAGTGTCAGGGTGGAGCCCCATTACTCTGACAGTGATGTGTCTTATTACTGAGCTCGCTCAGCCGTGGTCAGCTTGTGCTGGAACAGGCTTCCCAGTTCTCTTTGTTTGCTGTCCCCTGTTTTGTGTTCTGCAAGGGTCTTAGAAGATAGAAGGGTTTTAAAGCTGTTTGATGCCGGAAAGCCCTAGTTTCAGAATAGTACATTTTGTAATGCTCAAAAGGCCACATGCTGAAGAACAGCGTATTTTTTCTTACTACTGTCATCTGATATAAGAGATTAAGTAAGCAGTTTAACAAGTCCCAGTGTCAAATGTATATATCAGTCTGCTTGAGTTGTACACACACACACACACACACACACACACACACACACACACAGAGAGAGAGAGAGAGAGAGAGAGAGAGAGCTTTTAATAAATTTTAATTTCTAAGTTAGATTAACAATAATAGAATAATTATAGCAACATACTATAATACTGTGTCAGTGTACTGTCCTTGCTTTATATGCTATGAGCTGATATAGTACAATTTGGTACAGTGAAGCCAGGTGACAGATGTAGCCATTGTGATGTAGTGTTGGAAAGATCATGTCAGGTGACCCTAGGCCAATGAGCTCTGATGCTGTGAACGGACGGGTGTCATGACCAAGTGAGAAATGTTTGCAGATCCTCGGTATTCGAAAGGTTTTCTTCTTTTTTCTGTTGGAGGACATTTTTTTTGTGAAAACTATAGTAAGAAGTTATCTCCTTTTAGATTTCAGATTATTGCCCCACCATTGTGATCCTTTAGAGGTCACCTGGGAGATTTTAATGCTAGGTGAATCCTGAGGATTTCATTCCATACCTTGTCCTTTTATGACTTTAAAGGTAGGTGTGGCAGCACAGTGCCTGTAATCCAGCAGGAGGAGCTGAGGCAGGAGGATCGCTTGAGCTCAGAGTTCAGTATGTGTCCTGAGCAATATAATGAGTTCTCTCTGAAAACAACAATTTAGCAAATTTTTGGCATGTTCCACTGTTGATGATTCTGCCCCCGTTTTCTGTCCATTTCCCTCTGTAGGGGGTCTCAACAAGTTCTTCCAACTGTTATTTGTTAACCCGATGTTTCCTTTCCTCCATTCCTTCAGCACCATGTTAGCAACTTGTCTTTCAGTACAAGTGGTTTTCCCTATTCCTTTACTGATCCCAGGAAGCATGGTGCTGGCTACATCTGGATTAGAAGACAATGGGAAATGGACTGTGACACTGAGCCAAGTTTAAGCTTAAGAGATCTCAAAGCTTGGCCCCAGGGTGACACATTTCCTTCAATAAGGCCACACCTCCCTATAGTGCCACTCCCTATGAGCTTACTGGAGCCAATTACATTGATTGTTTTTATACTGTATATATGAATCAAGCTGCATAAGTATATGTGGCACAAAATGTGGTCTGCTTTTGAGCAGGCTCCATGGCTGCTTCCTAGAATGTTTGTTCTGTTTCTCTTGGGTGGAATAATGTCAATATGTTACGTGCATTTTTTTGTATAATGTAGTTTAATCTGAAGCATCTATGTTAGTTTATGGGTTTGGTGATCTATCTAGAGATGAAAATTCGGGAACCAGAGTTATTTTATTTTGACCTTATGTTCATCAGTGTTTGTTTTATGGACTTGGGATCCTCAACATTTGGTGCATATATATTTACAATTGTATCTTCTTGATGAATTATTCTCTTCATTAACATGTAGTGACTTCACTTGTCTCTTCTGACTTCTTCTGGTTTGACATCTGCTTTTTCAGACATCAGAATAGCTGAGCCAGCTTGTTTTCCATTTCTTTTTGCTTGATAGATGTTTTCCATCTTGGCACTCACAGTACCTGTACCAGTAAGATATGTGTCTTGGAAACAACATAAAGGAAACTGTTTTAGTTAGGGTTTCTGTTGATGTGAATAGACACCATGACCATGGCAACTCTTACAAAGGAAAACATGTAATTGAGGTGGCAGGTTACGGTGTCAGAGGATTAGTCTGTTAGCATCATAGCCATACATGGAGGCATGCAGGCACACATGGTGCTGGAGCTGATAGTACTACATCCTGCGGGCCACAGGAAGTAGACTGAGCATCACACTGCAAAGCTTGAGCAAAGGAGACCTCAAAACCTGCCCCCACAGTGACATACTCCCTCTAACAAGGCCATACCTACTTCAACAAAATCACACCTCCTACTAGTGCCATGCTCTTTGGGGCCATTTTCCTTCAAACCCCCAGAGAAACTCTGTTGCTATCACTCTTTCCCTCCAGCCTGTTCCCATAGCCACGTCAGCCCCATATGAACACTCAGAGAATTGTATTAATTATAATACTGTTGGCCGATGACTGGGGTGTCTTATTGGCTAGCTCTGTCTTAATTACTAACCCATTTTTATTAATCTAAGTATTTCCATGTGGTCTTATCTTACTGGAGAAAGGTCTGGGGACCTGTTAACTCCTCTGGTGTCCTACATGTCGACTGCTCTCTCCTACACCTTCCAGAATCATCCTCATCACCTAGACCTGCCTATGTTGCTGCCCGATTGGCCACAGTATTTTATTCATCAACCAATAAAAGAAACATATGTACGGAAGATATCCCCATCAAAACCCTTCTTAATTTCTATAGTATTTCTAATGTGCAGCTTTTAAAAATGCATAGGATTCATGTCTCTCTGCTTATTCTGCCATCTGTTCTTGCATGCTGTCTTTTTCTAGCATATAAACCTGGTCTCTTCATTCCAGCATCCTTGCTGTTATCATTCTGCTGCTTGTTCAGCCTTTTCACACTGAACTTCTCCAGTGTTTTGCTGACTTTCTGTCTTTTGAGTGAGATAAGCTTGCTGGATACCCATCTTCCCCAAGATTGTCAGGCTGTAATAGACCCATCAGGGCTCTGCTCAAGTAGTCTCTTCTGGAGAACAAAATATGATGGTGTTTTTAACCTTTCTCTTCCTTCTACAGAAGCTTGGCTTATTTATTCATTTATATGATAAACTCTTGTGTGAGGGTGCTGGTAGATTTTCTGGATATAAAGCTCATAAAAGTATAAGAATAGCCTTAACACTCTTAGATGTGTTCACACTGAGAATTTGGTCACGCATCAGCCAGTTGGGTTTGCCCAGTGGCACTAACTGTGATAAAGGTTTTGCTTGGGGATTTCTCTGCTAGTCAGTTATAAATCTCTGTATTTACCTGCTTTTCAGAATTTGCCCTGAGACCCTGTTTATCTGTTGTTGTTGTTGATTTCAGTTTAATTAGCTTTTTTTTCTTATTTAGGTTTCTTATTTAGCTTCTGAGCTCATAATATGTTCAACCACAAACTGGAAATGTGTCCTTTTTTGTTCTGTTATTTGTAAAATTATTTAGTTCCCTCTATTGGTTTTCCTTCATCACTTGATACACCTAGAATAGTTGATCAACCAGTTAGAATCTATGTAGGTCTGGCCTATGGTCACA